GAACATAAAAGAAGTTCACAATGGAAAATAATATGATCATCTTTTTTGTCGAAAAGTAAAGTTCATAACCGACTTCATTGTCATCTTTTAGATATAAGTCAATATAAGAATCAGACCTAACTGTGTCTGTGTTATCTCTTATTACAAGTTAAAATGGCTAAAATCGTCACCCAACGTTGAAATATTAAGTGAAATGACCGGGAAGTTAAAGAATAATGCTACTATATAAACATAATGAGATGTGCTATGATTGCCAATGAGATAACTATCCACTTGAGTTTAAATGACGTGGATGCAAGCAATTATAGCATCTTTTCTTTCTGACTGAGATGCCTCTGCATGAATTGAGCCTCATACGAATAATGTATAGTTGGCAACAAGAGCAGAACTGTTGGTTTGATATAGGAATGATGACTCTGCATTGAAAAACACGTCAACTTTACGTTATAAATGTGTAATGTAAATAAAAAAATAAAACGTTCTGACCTGGTCAGAAACATTTTTGATAAAGACCGGTTTTTATAAAGTTTTGATTCGTCCCTCCAACAACTTAATATTTGTATGTACGTTCACTAATCTTTGAAGGAGATACCAGGTTGGCATGTAAAACCAAAAGTTTGACTAGTTCTGTTAAATGTGCATATAAATTTAGATTGAAAAAAAACTTATTGATTGGGAAAGTGAAACAATTTTCTATCACTCAGTATCCGTTCTCGTCGTTTGTCGTTACTTTTTTCTCACAATCCTTCTCTTCTGAAAATAATGGCTAATATCTACCAAGCGTTACCTGTTGCTCCCTAAGAGGGTCTTCCGTTAACTTTATTTCCATTATATCTGACCCTCATTACAGCTATGGCGGAAAACTTCACGTATTGCTAACTTTAAAAAAAAACCAAATCTATTAAAGACTTGAAAAATCCTGTTATGTGTCAATCGCTCTTAACAGTTTTAAATATCGTTCCCCGTCAATTATAAATTGAAATGAGTGTCATAGCATCATCCACGACTCACTCCGTACTTACTGCTTGAAATGGATTAAACGAGAAAAAGCTGACATAAATCCTTAGATTCTCTTTTTAATTCAGTAATGAACATAGTTGATATTTGTATTAAACATTTTAAAGAACATTTTACTCCCAACAACAACCATAATAGCCCTATTTCTCGTATCAAACATAAGCTAAAATAACTTGCCAAGGAATTTGGCTGATAAGGCTGCTAATAATATCATTAATGTCTGACGTAAATTTTACATAGAGGTTTTGCAAAAGGAAATCACGAATTCACCAACATTCCAACTGACAAATGACATCTGTAACAAACATAAACTTTTAACTACCTCTTTACAAGCAGAACCAAATACAATGAAAGTTCCAACTATGTACTGTCTTCCGAAGCTGCACAAAGCACCTTACAAATATAGTTTTATTTCGTCTTCAATCCATTGTTCCACTACTGAACTGTCTGTTCTACTTACTTATACACTTGGTTCAATCAAAAACCTGGTAATAAATTGTTTTAATAAGGCCTTTGAAATTAGTGGAATAAATTCCTTGGAAGTACTTGATAAATTGCATGCTTATATTGGTGATTTCGAATCTGTTCAAAGTTTTGATTTTTCTACCCTATATACCACTTTGCCTCACAATCTCATTAAGAAAAAATTTACACACCTATTTAAATGGGCATTTAAAATGTCAGAATGCGAATGTATATGTTGAAACTCTTTTAGGTCATTTTTTAGTAACAACGAACAAAAGAACTATGTCAATTGGACCTGCTTTGATACGATAACTGCCCTTGAATTTTTACTAGATAACATTTTTGTTCGCTATGGAGATTCCATATATCGTCAAGTTATTGGAATTCCAATGGGGACTAACTGTGCACCACTTATTGCGGACCTCTTTCTGTATTGTTATGAGTTGCAATTCATGACTAAAATCTGCAAAGACCCATCCAAACAACATATGATACAAAAATTTAATAACACTTTTAGATATTTGGATGATATATTGCCTCTCAATAATGTCGACTTCAGTATATACACTAAAAAGATTTATCCTGCTGAACTGACTTTAAATAAAGCTAATACTAACAATGAACACTGCCCTTTCCTGGATCTGATATCTTTATCTTTAACGGGAAGCTTAATACCAAAATGTATGATAAAAGAGATGATTTTTCATTTCCTATTTTTAATTATCCATTTTTAGATGGTGGCGTTCCCTTATGGTGTTTTTATATCTCAACTTGTTCGATTCGCTCGTGTATGTAACAACGTATTTGATTTTAACGAAAGAAATATCTGTATTACTGAAAAATTATCACACCAAGGTTTTCGATATCACAAAATAGTCAAAACATTTACTAAATTTTATCATCGGTACAAGGACATTATTCGTAAATATCAATCAATATGCAGACATCTTATACGTTCAGGTATTTCACATCCAATTTTTTATGGTAATATTCTGTACAAAGCACAAAAATGTCGACATTCACCACAAAAGCTAACCAAACCTTTAAACAGACTTATTCAGAAGGGATATAGTTACGATACTGTTGTCAGATCATTAAAGATGGCATATTTTGGTATTAATATTGTTTTACTCATAGGGTATTTGCATCGGAAATACACATATTTGTTCTAAAACCAGTTGTTGGCATGATACGGGTTATGTTCTTCTCATATATTTTATGATGGTATGATAATAAACCCCTAATGGGAGGGATTGTGCTTGATTTTCATATGATGAAGACATAATCTTTCAATCAGTTAAATTGAGGTCTGGAGCTGGCATGCTAGTAACTGCTAGTAGTCCCTTTTTAATTTATGTATCATTGTCATTTTGCTTAGTTTCTTTTGTACCTTTTCTGACATCGGACTCAGACTACTTTTAAACAGAGTTTTACTGTGCGTATTGCTATGTGTTTGTTTATTCTACATTGGCTAGAGGTATTGGGGGAGGGTTGAGATATCACAAAACCCCGCCGCATTTTTACGCATGTCCCAAGTCAGGAGGCAACTGGCGTTTGTTATTCTTGTATGTTTTTTTAATTTTAGTTCATTTATATGTTTTGGAGTTTGGTTTGAAGTCCATTTTCATTGAACTAGTTCACATTTTGTTTAGGGGCCAGCTGAAGACCGCCTCCGGGTGCGGGGGTTTCTCGCTGTGTTGAAGACCCATTGGTGGCCATCGGCTGTTTTCTGCTCTTTGGTCGGTTTGTTGTCTCTCTGACACATTCCCCATTTCCATTCTCAATCATATTGATTGATACATTTATGATACTCTGTAAGAATCGGGGGTTATAATTCCATATGCCTTTAAACACAACAGCTGCACCACATGCTATAACATATGGACAATGTTGAATAAAGTATTCCTCTCCGAATTATGGTCTATGCAAAACTAATTCATACCACCCAGCATAAAACAGGACTAGTTATATATTGTTTTTACTAAAAAAATGCACAAACATGTGACAACCCAAAAGGTAACATTTTTGATTGAATATTACACTTATGGCACTCATTTGATTTCAGTTAATTTGATAAAAAGACCTCTCATCACAACCAGAAGAATTTCGGAATGCTTATTATATTTTGAAATTCAATGCAAAGATATTTGAAAATTAAGTATAATTGCTTCTGAACTTTACGAGATGGAATACGTTTTATAGGGTGACCATAGTGGACAATGGGTTACATCTAGTTGAGAGATGCCTTTAGTTATACTATTGCAAAAGTAAAGAATCTTAGATTGAATGTTTTTCTACAGATCATTTGCATGCATGTTATAGTATCCAAATGTAATACTCACAACCTTTATAAACACAGGATTACACTTATTCTGAAGGCCAGTTTTGATTCCTGATAAAATATATTTTAGCAATTTTGAAAGAGGTTTCGTTTAGCAAATATTCCATAACATTTCTATTTTTGACGTTATTGTTAATCTAAAGGAAAAGAGAATATTTCTAATGTTAACTTATGACTTCGATGTTTCTTTAAATCAGTATTTCCTTAATAGAGAGTTGCTGCTTACAAGGTCTTAAAACTAGGTTCCGAGTGGTAAAATTGAAGTCATCTCTTTTTGTGGACTCCATTACGAGTTGTTTGAACTTACATGAACTACCCGACAAGTGCCATATATTGAGCAGGATCTGCTTTCCCTCCCGGAGCATCTGAGATAACCCACGGTTTTAGAAGAGTTTGTGTTGCTCAGTCTTTATTTTTCTGTGTTGTTATTTTGTAGACTGATGTTTGTCTTATCATCGTTTTCGTTTTTTGCTCTAGCGTTGTCATGTGTCTTCTACATATGAGTTTGAATATTCCTTTGCTATCCTTCACCTCTCTTGAAGTCAAATATAAGTATACATTTTCATGAATTCAATGGCAATCCTCCAAATATTCATACGCATATTTTAAAATCCCTTTGCTCTTGTTTATGGTACAATGTGCTTCACCTATTAATCAAAATACGTATGTATATTTTTGGATCCAAACTTGATTTTTCTTGATGGTACTTGATATATGTAAATTTTCCTGAAGGTTCCTTGAAGGTGGGGTGTATCTTGTACAAATTTCAAGAAGTTTCAAGCCCTGATGTAAATATAAAATTGAGAATGGAAACGGGGAATGAGTCAAAGAGACAACAACTCGACCAAAGAGCAGAAAACAGCCGAAGGTCTTCAAAACAGCGAGAAAATCCCGCACCCGGAGGCGGGCTTCAGTTGGCCCCTAAACAAAAATGTTCTAGTTCAGTGAAAATGGACGTCACACTAAACTCCGGAACATATAAATAAACCAAAATAAAATGTTTTAGAAGTAGAAAAGAATAAAAAATATTCCTACTTTAGCTACTAAAAACCTAAAATGTTTGGTCTTCAATCACAATTGAAGACAATATAACATAAAAAAAAACACAACCAATATACGTTTTAATTGGAAATATAAAATCCTGACACTTGAATCTTTTTTAAATATTTTTTTTTAGTCATTGCAAGTGCTCATATCGCTCAGTGAGGGAGCATTACATATTGAAGTCAGTACCAGAAGGGGAACAACTGTCCTCAGAAGTTCAAAAGATACTTATCATGATGGAGCTGATCACATGTTGAAAGTAAGTATTACTTATTACCTCCGTCTCATAGTAAAATTGAATTACAAGGTATATTTCGTTGAAGCCTTGATTCAAAATTCAGGTTACAATTAGGAGTTTTTTTGCGCCGTAATTTCAGCTTATCGAACGTGATCCTTAGAAGAAACAACCGCAAATTAGTTTAAGAATAAGAAGATGTGATAGCAACTGAGTAAAACAAGCTCTATCTAACTTTTAGGGTAATCTGTTTGAAGACTTTATGTAATTCATGAGTGGGTTTGCGTTAACACATCAATTAACTCCTAGATAATTGAATATTTACTGATAATTAATTTATAACAAGACATGAAACATTTACTCCTTTTAATCATTTCTACATACGCTTCTCGTTGAATTCAAATTGCAAAAGGTAATTTGAAAAACTTAAAATATCATTTTTGTCGGAAAATCTCTTCATTATCAACTTTTGATAGTGTCTACGTTAGTTGGGATCATTATGTTTTCGGTCTTTTACGTCCGTCCGTTTGTCCGCTCATTCGTGTCATATCAGGAAAAAATGTCTGGGAAAGTTTGTAAACCATTAAATTGTGGTCAAATTGCAAATTTATGCACGTGTTTATTTTTGCCAAATTACGGTATCGATTCCTATTTCATGGTTCACTAAATATACAAATGTGATAGTGCGAAATCAATACATTCCCATATTAGGTTGAAACTTGGAATTGATTTAAAGGAATTAAATGCTAAATAACGTATGAACCGATTTCATAGAAATGTGATAATGCGAGCGTGCATGGCGTTTTATGGACACATATTCTTGTTAAAAAAGACAAACAAGGAACACAATCGCCAGATATAGATATATAAATGCATACACCCTTACGATTTTGTCGTCCAATACAATTTTCGTCTTACTTTAAGGCAAATTACAATTGATGTATAATTTGATCAAATTTAGATTATAAAAAGAAATAAATCATGTACGCTGTTTTTGATGCCCCGCCGTAGCAGAGGGGCATTAATTATTTCCCTTGTCCGTCTATAAGTCGGTCAGTCCGTCCGTCCGTCCGTTCGTCCCAAAATTGGTTTCCGTTCTCTAACTTTAATTTGCCACAACCAAATGTTATGAAGTTTATACACCACAAAACACAGTTCAAGTTCAAATTTGGGTTACATCACTTTTACCGTTCTTGAGTTATGTCACTTTATAACGTTATATGCATCATCTGTGTCCCATGGACGCATTCTCCATTTATTTTTCATTTCAATATTTCTGAATGTTATTATTGCTTTATTTCGTTTTAGCTGGGATATGACTAAATTAATGTCTTCTGTTTTTCATAACAGGTATTAATTAAGTCAAGTAACATTTTTATGCATTATATGTATTGTAAAAAGGGATGACAATAAGTATTGAAAGACGACAAGTCAAGAAACTATTGTTCATGTAAATAAGTTATATTCTAGGTTGTATTTGGTAATGATGTTATAGAAGTGACAACGGATCATCTGGATGATACATTCGAACAGGAACTAGCCCGACAGGAGATCACATCACGTATTGCTGATGGGATATATCTTGGTGGACTAGGTGTTCAGAGTCATTCTCTGTCAGGGAAAGCAAAACTAAGGTTTGCACATTTCCAACGAAAAATACCAGCTTAATTTCAAAAGATTGTTTATTTTGTGACCGCTTTTATACTGTCATCAGTTGTAAATTGTGGAGGTCAGATTTTAGAAAGAACTTGCAAAGGAGTAATTTTAGGATAATTAAGACCAAAGCTCAATTTCTCTTGATTATTTGTTAGTTGACACAGTTCAGTTCTTCTTAAGAGTCTACATTCCGGATAGAGTTTACTACTGTATTCACATTTTGTGGCATACTAGTATTTGATAGCAAAGTGATTTATAGTTTTCGGGACTGTCTGATCAGGAAGACAAGATGTAAATAAAGGCAACAGTAGTATACCGCTGTTTGAAATTCATAAATCGATTGAGAAAAAAACAAATCGGGGTTACAAACTAAAACTGAGGGAAACACATCAAATATAAGAGGAGAACTACGACACAACAGAAACACAACATTAAAATGTAACACACACAGATACGAACTATAATATAACAGTGGCCATTTTCCTGACTTGGTACAGGACATTTTAAGAAAAAATTAGTGGGTTGAACATGGTTTTGTGGTTAGCCAAACCTCCCGCTTTTATGGCAATGTTAAATATAACATTAAAATGACAACATTACATGACAGGACTACAATACAAATAAATGGGAGAACATATAGGATAGAGAAACATACGAATAAAAGCTAACAAAAGGTACCAGGTTTAAAATTTAAAACGCGCGTTTCGTCCACACAAGACTAACCAGTGACGCTCAGATAAAAAAAATTGGAAAGCCAAAACAAGTACAAAGTAAAATACTAGTAGGTCAATATAGCCGGAATTGCCAATGCCCTTAAAAAGGACGATTTTTATCCTTTTATTGCGTTTTGGGCAAAAATTATAGAAAATTGAGACAAACAGAAAAATTATCAGCAAGACAGATCAACAAATAGGTCAACAAAGCGAAAATTGCCAATCCTCTTCTTATAGGACTTACTGCCCTTGGAGGATGATGCTAAGTCATTTTTGTGTTTTTCAATACCGTCATAGTCATGATAATTTTTTGGACTAGTATTGTGAAAATAATTGTATGAATTTCAAGATTATAATATATTCGTTACAAAAATACATCACTGTTTGTGATGTCCTGTGCTGTCGTTAATGGATGATGTTCGTTGTTATTCTTCGGTTTACATGTTGTAACGACTATTATATTATTTATTTGTGCGTTTCTCTATGCTGAGTGTTTTTGCGTTTGTTTGTACTGTAGTTCTGTCACGTAGTGTTGTCATTTTAGCAAAGTTTTTTTTTAACATTGCCAAATAAGCGGAAGGTTTTGCTAGCCATTACAGGTTCAACCCACCATTAATTTTCTTAAAATGTCCTGTACCAAGTCAGGAATATGGCAGTTGTTATCAAGTAGTTCGTTTCCATGTATGTTGGCGTTTGTTTTTGCTGCACTTCAGTGTTTCTGTTGTTCAGTTGTTTTCCTCTTATAGTTGATGTGTTTCCCTCGGTTTTATTTTGTAGCCCGGATATGTTTTCTCTCAATCGATTTATGACTTTTGAACAGCGGTATACTTCTGTTGCCTTTATTTGGCAAAAACAAAAGCAGATAAAGAGAAAATGAATAGAACAATTTGATCAGCAATACAAGAGCAACAACAACAAAAAATTTAGTCATGGATTATATTCTACTCTACAATGTTGAAGTTTTGTAGTATGGCCATTGTTGAAGAATCAGGTGATACTAGCTTTTTAGAGCCTCTAGTTTCATTTAAATGTTTTTCATGAGCAATTTTTGTTTCTATTGTGAAATTTTAACTCTCAATGAGATTATCGGTAACATAAAGGGCTTAGAAGTTTAAGCTATTTTTTGCCATCACTTAGACTATTTGAAATACGGTAGAGAACTTTATTTCCTTTGGAGACTATTAAGATTGGTTTGCTAACATTTAATATAGTTTGTTAACTACCTTTCAAAGGTCGATGATTTATACCGGGTACTTTTCTTTTCTTTAAGATTTACAGTTTTAAAATTGTAAAATTTAAGACATTAAAACATATGGAACAAATAATAGTTGCATAATATACATTTAGTTTTAATTATGCTATTACAGCCATTAATATTTTCAAGGAATTAGATAAACGATGTGATTTATTGCAGATCATTCAGCGGTTGTATATCATCATTTTCAATAAGCAATAAAGAAATACCTTTATATATGATTGATGAAAGTAAAAACGTATATTATGGAAAATGTAGTGAAAATGTAAGTATAAGGTTAATAAATAACAGATATATTATACCGAAACACCTGTCATAAATCAAAAACCGTGGTCCACTGGTCATGAAATAAAAGTTCTTCATAATATAAGTTCCGAGTGGAAGAGATATTCAGTTATATAATGTTCATTGGAACATATATTACAGTATTTGTTCCTCACGGAATAAATAGTAAAGAATATTTGTCCAAACTTCTGTTAGCTGGAACCTAACGTTGACACACATAACAATGCAACAACAGGAAAAAACAACAGATGGGATGACAAATGGGAAAAGATATAAACGAACACAGAACACTTAAGACGAAAGTCTCTGAGAACCCTGCATGTAAACGAAAATAACACTTGATTAATTTCGTGCGTCCGAAGTGCTTGTCTAGATTTATCTTCATCGGGGACGCTCAAATCCAACCATTTAATGTATAAGAATAAAAACACATGAAGAGCTATATGATCAAAAGGTATGTAACATGCGTTGACTCCGGTAGCATTGCCAAAGCAAGAAATGATACAATACGATACATATATAACTAAAATGACCTGACTAGTGTACTCAGTCAATTTTTTGAACAAATAAAATGTTGGGTAATAACAACCGTAAATACTCTGCAGTGATATCATTTTATTAACTTATGTTTAATGCCAGCACATTGTGTTTGGGGGTAGTATTGGACATTCATATCTCTCATATCTTTTCGTTGTCATTAGTTTTTTATTGTCAAAACAATTGAGTCATAAATGTAATAAATAACTGAAAGATATGAATAAAAGGTAGCGTAGGGTATACGACATAAGGACAGCAAATTAATGAAACAGAAACATAGAAAGACATCTGCAGTTTAAAATTTTACATGTTATTGGATTATAGACAGGTGTCTTCACACAAGATGTAAAGCTTTAAATCGCACATAGATTTTCATTAACGTCAAATTTTCCAAATGACAAAGAAAGACCAAAAAACAACCATATTAAGATATGACAAAATACAACAACTGACAAGGTGCATGTCCTGGAACATTCATATGATAGTTGGCTAGACCAGTTCTTAAAACCTCAACCCTCCTTCTCTTAAACTCGATCAGCATACTAACAAAATGAAAACAACACGTTATTAATTTCATGCGTCCGAAACGGTTTTCTGGATTTACCTTCAGCAGGAACGCCCAAAGCCGAATATTGTTAATTGATACATAACACAAATTATCATTTGACAAAAGAACTATCAACTGTGTGTTATGATACATTGTCTTAAACGTAGTATAAACATATATTGAATTCGCATTAAAAGATTAAAAATTAGTGACATCTTTATGCATGTTCCAGATTTGGAGAAAATGTGTCAAATTTACCGAACAGAGTAAACCTATAGTATACAAACAATCAGAAGATTCAAATAAAGTATATGTTATTGTTGGGAAGGATTCCTTGGGTACACTATTACACTTCCAACGAGTTAATGGTGAGGTAAGATAATAGTTTGTAATAGGTATAAATAATAGCATATAGAAACCCGATAATTTGCTTGATTTGATATTTGTTTTACTACTTAAGTAAGTGAAAATTGCACATTGGAGAAAAATGCTCAAAACGACATGGCTTAAAGAGAATGAAGGGAATATAAAAATAGAAATATAAAACACACAACAGGAACAAACCAAATTTAACAACGAAACCGGTAGAATGTAAGATAAAAGACATGGATATGAAATACAAACCTTTTGGGTCTAATACCACAGAATAAAGGTTGTCATACAATCATAAAACTTTGACATTTAATACTTTAATTTTGAATCCAAAATTTTAATATTCTTTATTCGCTCAAATATAAATTATTGATGATTCTGTAAAAAAATATTACTTTTGTAAATAATGCTTTAATATACAGATAATAAATATAGGCAACAGTAGCTTACCGATGTTTAAATCTCTTAAATCGAATATGAAGACAAATCAAAATAACAAACAAAAACCAACGGAATTGCATCAAATCCAAAAAGAGCGAAACCAGATTCATCGACAGGGTAAGCATCCCTATGAATGCATCACCCGCCATGCGAATTAACCAATCAGTCAATGTTCCATTCGGGAATAGGACATGATCGGTAAAATTAAAAAATTTTATATGACCACTAAAATGGTATCTCTAAATGTAAGACTGCGAAAACATTTTGCTAGTGAGTTGAGACACACACACACATATATATATCAATAGGTAAACCACTAGTAAGCATTTTCAAAATTATCTTTCAATTGCTCATTTCTTTCAAATCAATTCAAAGTTTCTAAGTAATAAATTATGTTATAAAAAAAATCCCCTTAAAAGGGTTTACTCGGATTCGTTTTCAACCAAAATTCATGAAATACTTAACATTTCCACATTCCTACAAGATATATGATATGAGTTTCCAAATCACAAGAATATTTACAATTTTATATAACAAATGTATTGTAATACGTCATTCTAAGACTGTCGTAATTTTCAGGATTTTGATGTGACCTTATTTGTTGAAAGCAAGGGAGTGGAAATATCTGACAACAAAGAAAATAAGGATTACAATTTGAGTTCAGACGATAATACTAAGGATTGGCATGTGTTGTCTGTGGAGGACACTGGTGACGAAAGGTGCAAAGTTATGTTTATCAAGAAGAAAGCTTGCTTCTGAATCTGATGATTATTCATAAGAAACAAACAATAACTACATGCATGACAAAACACACACTATAGTAATTAATACTTCATTTACCTTTTAAATTAAAAACAATTAACTTTTTCGTCATATTGATCATATTTCATTTCTGAACTCGACAAAATCTTTAAAAAGCAATCGAAACCGATGAGGTCGGTTATCATATATTACTATTTTTCAAAATGAAAATATGTTTTAAGATACGTACACGATGAAGGTCGTACTGTAACCTATAATTGCTAATTTCGTCATTTGATCTGGTGGAAAATTGTCTCATTGGCCAATATACCACATAATCTTATTTTTATATAATATGGTTTTCATCAGAACCCTAGAATTTTTCAATCAGTTCATCCAAAACAATTATGATGTAATTTATGGCAAAATGTAATCGTATATATTTAAAGCTTCATTTATTTAACTGATGCCCTGTGAATGTTTTTCTGTATAGGTTTGTTATCCAAACCAATGTCCTTTAAATCAATAGACTTATTTTCAATACTCATGTGGTCTCATTCATTTATCAACAGCTGTTTTCAAGACTGATGTTGATTCTAGTTATTTATTTTTAGGTTTATTTTCCGAACTCTTGATTTTAGCACCTGACATGTCCTCTTACTCGTTCCTGGTATCCTCATTTATTCATGATCTTCATTTATTTGTATAATAGTTAAGTTTCCTGGTATCCTGTTTCCATTACTATATCGAACAGTAATGCTAAAATAACGGTTAACTTCACAGTTTTGATTTCTATAACGCAAAGAAAACGGCTGGGAATTAAGTAGTTAAAAGTTGTTTAACATTTAAGCGTCAAGTTTATCAAAATGCCCAACTTTTCTACAGATACAGTATACAAAAAGAGAAGCGAAAGATACCAAAGGGACATTCAAACTCATAAGTCGAAACAAACTCACAATGCTATGGCAAAAAATACGAAAAACGAAAACAAACAAAACAAACAACAGTATACAAGACATTACATAGAAAACCAAAGACTGAGCTAAATGAACCCAACCAAAAACCGGGGGTATCTCCGGTGCTCCGAAACTAGATTTGAGCTTTTTTGATTAGTATACATGTAATTATGTTGTTAAATGTTATTAAAAAGGTCGCAATTAATGTTTTGGTCCTCTGTGATGTCCGCTTTTAAGACGTAGATTTCTATCAAAATCAACGGTTATTATATGAAATATATGATTATTTTTATTTCTGTCCGAGTGTTAACAATTATTGCACATACATCTTGTAATAATATTCACTCTTAATGACGATAATACAGATCTTTTTATTCCAATGGTATTTGTTAATGAAGTCAAAACACAGTGAAATTATTGCTTATACATCTGTATAAATGATATTTTAAGGTTACTCATGAGTCTAGGAACATCATCAATAGAAGTACCATACGACATACCATTCAGATGGTTTTCGACAACTCCTCCGGTTTATGACATCTCTGTCGGTGGACTTGTTGATAGTGACACCTCTACATTTCAAGGAGGAATTTCATCTTTGATCATTAATGACAGGTACGTTAAATTTTGTAATGTTCCTAATATTGTTCAGAGTTATTCCTCTTACCCAACACTCAGATATATACATTATATTGTGCAAATAGTAAGTATAAAAATCGTAGTGAAAATAATGCAATGAAAGAAAATAATATAAATAATGAATAATAAGGTTTTCCTCCCCTAGAGAGATAGATTGCCATAGCCCTTTTTGACATAACTTTTCGTAATTTTCTAGTTTAATGCTTTTTAACTTCGTTTTTTATTTGGCCTTCCAATTATTTAATTCGAGTATCTGATGAGTCTTACGTAGACATGGTATAATGTTAAACAAAAGAAAATTGTAAATCATTTAGAAAAAAATAATGTTATGACGCAAAATTCACATTCCTTCTATTCAGACCAATTGACCTGCAAGCTGTGATAGAAAGTCATCAACTACAACATTGTGAGAGATCAACGGTGGTTCTTCATGAAATGGACAAAGAAGATAAACCAGTATGCTAATGAAACTTTGTATTCTGTTTGAAAATCTTGAGATGAAAGTAATTCATTCCTTTGAGTGTAATACATGTAGTGGTATACCAATTTGTTTACATGTATACCATTTTGGTTAGATATAACGATAAACCAATTCAATTACATGAAATGGTACACATTTTTGGTTAGATGTAAAGATATACTATTTTGGTAACATGTAATATACATTTTTGATTACATGTAATGGTATACATTTTTGGTTACATGTTATGATATACCATTTAGTTAAATGCAATAATATAGAATGTTGATTAAATGTAATGACACCATTTGGGTTAAAACTGAATGTACTATGTTTGTCCTCCAAATTTCGTTACTTAATTTTAATAGTGTATTAGGTATTATGAAAAATACTGTTTCAAATATGTATCATGAAAGGAAACCATTAAAGGAGAAACATAATAATGACAATAAAAATAAATTCTTCATTTTGAAGACGGTAACTCATTAAATCATGTCTCATTTTCATTGGGCCCTCAAACAAATAAATCCATACAGTACACATTCACCAGTTAACTAAAACAAATATATATATAAAAAAATCATTCAAACATCAAAATACCTACACTAAGGAAACATTTCATATGCTAATGAAAATAGTAATATCATTAGATTTTATAATGTCTGAAGTAACAGTTTCCAAGAAAGTATTGGGAAAATGTTTCTTGAATAATTCTACATAACGACGATTTTTTGTATTGAAACTAGTAAATTATTCAATACTTCGATTGCAGAACAATGAAAAGATTACTTCTCTTTTTTATAAAAGTTAGTATTTGGTCATAGTTGATATAGATCGTTATTAGTTATTGATCGATACATTTTATATCATTATTAATTGTTATTGATAAATAATCATGTATAAGTTTATGTACATTTTTTTGCATTAGAAAATATTATTAGTATTTTTACTCTTTCTGTAAATGGTAACCATTTTAAAGAAGAAAACTATCAATTTGATGGATCTGAAATATCACATTCAAGTTTAATTTTGGTTGCATTTTTCTCGAGTATTTATCTTTTTTAACGAAAACATTTCCCCAAACTGAACTTAAAAAAATAGAATATCGGTATTACAATGATAATGTAACATTTTTCCCCTTCAAATTATCCTGTACTGTAGTAATAGTTTTGTCATGAAAGTAAACGTGAAACATTTTAATAAGTTAGTTTGAAGTTTACGTGATTGTGTCCCTACCATAGAATATATTTAAGTATGAATGCACAAATGTGAACTAGTCTTTTTATGGAATTGACAGCTTTTATGAAAATTGAAACGTATTGTCATAAAAAATCATATGACATTAAAAAAACTCTATGCCAATTTTAGAATAAATATGGCATTCAATGTTAAAACAAATATAAACGTATGAAATAATGAGTCATGAATTGTCACATTTATCTGATACAGGGATATTTTCGTTGTTGAAGAGCAACTGCTGCAAACAATGTTTTATCAAGCTGTGAAATCTGAATATTAGCATCTATATTGTATTCACTGACACATTATTTCACGCTATATCACATAATAGTCATACATTTATAAGGTGTTATATTAATTTCAGAGCATTACTCATAAAGTTTTCACATTATTTATTATATTATTTTTTTATAGTTTTTATAGAGCTAAAATTCAGTCATAAAATGTATTGCTAAATTTTAGAAATTGACTGAATTAAAATGAAAGAAGACATGTTTACCATAAAGAACTTTACATATTTGTTAACTTAGTAACAGTCAGTCTCCTCCTTGTTATGTAAGTGTGCTTTAAAAATTTCTGCTTCCAAGATCAGGGACTGTGTGTCAATGTTTTCATTATCTTTGTTTTGTTTTTTTTTCTCATTTTAAGTCTACCTGACACAGTCTTAACAAGTGTAGTAGTATGATATGCTATGTTAAGCAGAATATAGGAAAGAAAATTCCAAACGGGATAAAAATATCTAGTTGAACGACAGACAACGCCATGAATTACAGAAAAAGAGACGAAAAATACAAAGAATTGTCCATAATATTTGATAATTAAGCAAAAAGCAAAAGAACTTGAACCCTTTGCAAAAACAGGTGGTTATAATCCTGGTATCTTTGGTGAGTTTTTTGTAAACACATGTGACCCGGAGAGGAAAACAGTTCCTGTTTTACTGGGCACCCGTCTGGTCTATACCCTATGTCTGCTTTTCAGGGCAATGCTGCCGTGTTGGTAATGAAAATGAAAAATACCAAATTAGCTATATAGACTTTTTAATTCGGAACATTTAAAGCCAAAGGGTCATAAGAAGCCACATAGATATGAGAGACCCAACAGAAAAGCCAAAACCGTTTCAATTTTGTATGAATGAGTAGGAACCAAAGTATTTATAAAATGCCACTGTTAGTCGGTTGACAATAAACAAAAAGAAGTCAAGGAACCCTGGCCAGTTGTGTCAAAGTAATGAATTTCTACGTGTTTGTGGAAATCTCAAATATATAATATGTATTTGATTATTTTGTTAATATTCATACTGTGAATAGCAAACCTGGGTGTCTTAACATTAGCTACAATAACCTCATGTGTACTTCAACAAATTAGTATAAATCAACTTTTTGACAATCTTTTTATGAAGTATATGTGTACCTTACTTGTATTCATTAGAGTATACATATAAAATTATTTGTAAAATAAAAAGTGCTATGTTTTTCATTGTTTACTATTTATTTATTTGCTTTGCTGTAATAAATGTTTTTCAAATGTGTGTCATTGACCTGAATATATATGCTAAGTATTGTTAATAATGATAGTTCTTTCATAATGTCCATTTATCATTGATTTAAGTGAATGAATAAAAGCAGCTTTAAAAGTGATATAGCGATTTAATTTATGATTTATGGGAATTTTAATAGATAATATCTTGGTTCACTGATGGTTCGGTCATCAAACTGTCCCATGTTTACCTTTATAAGGTCAGATTAAAATTTATCAGTGTATGTGAATTTTGCTCCTTTTTCATCCTGTTATCAAAATTGAAATTAAATATTCCTATGGTTTGAAGGTTTGTTAGGAGGAAAGGATATGAAAGATGAATCAGGAGTGAACGGGTCGACCAATTTGCGGGTGCAGTGAATACAAAAATTCATTTAGAATTTGTAAATTTTTGTTTTCCATACATTGATATTGATTTTCAGAACTCCATTTGAATTCGGAGTACCTGAGATCACAACCGGTGTTTTCGTACTTTATTTTGCCTTTTTAATTTTTTTTGGATTCGAGCGTCACTGAATCTTTTGTAGACAAAACGCGCATCCGATGTACGAAATTTTAATTCTGGTATCTCTGATGAGTTTATTTAGGGGTAGTTCGTGTTGCTCAGTCTTTAGTTTTCTGAAAATTGTGGTTTACCATCTACGTCGTCTGGTCTGCTAAGTACCGAACGTGACCTATTCCAGAATATGACTGTTTTGCGGAGTGTGAATTCGCATTGCTATACGACGTGTCTCGGTATTTATACATCCAACATTCATGTATTTAATTTCATTTGTAAGTCTGGTTGGATATTGTGTTATTTCTTATCGTTTGTGGTTTGAATTCTGTATTTTCGGTACATTTCACATATGTCTTATTTGTCAGTATAGTCGAGTTACTCGTGGTTCGTCTACAGTGTTTTTGTTTTATGTTGTTTGTTTTCAAGTGTGTTTACTGTTTGGTCTTACATGATCTTACCTGTGATAATACAAACGTCACAAAACATACGTCACTTTTTGTGGCGTTGATACATTCGTGTGACGCACAGTTTATTATTTGTTTGTGGTATTCTGGTGTGCTGTCGTGGATTCATGGCAGGTGTCCGTTCTGATTCTGTGGTTTACATGTTGCAATGTACTATTATATTATTTATGTATGTGTTTTTCTGTCCTGAGTGTTCTTGCGTTTATTTGTACTGTATTCCTGTCACGTAATGTTGTCATTTTAGCGGTATTTTTAACATTGCCATATAGAGGGAGGTTTGGCTCACCATAACACCAGGTTCAACCCACCATTTTGTCTTGTACCAAGTCAGGAATATGTCAGTTGTTATCAAATAGTCCGTTTCTATGTATGTTGGCGTTTGTTTTTGTTGCAGTTCAGTGTTTCTGTTGTTCCGCTGTTTTCCTCTTAAAGTTGATGTGTTTCCTTCGATTTTGGTTTGTGACCCGGATTTGTTTTCACTCAATCGATTTATGACTATTGAACAGCGATATACTACTGTTGTCTTTATTTTTCTATATAGATAAGAAGATGTGGTATGAGTGCCAATGAGACAACTATCCATCCAAGTCACAATGTGTAGAAAGTAAACAATTATAGGTCAAAGTTTTGTATTGTATACTGTTGTTTGTCCAATGATCGTTTTTCGTTTTTATATAGATGACATTGTAATTTTTTTTCAACTTAAGATTTTGAATATACCTTTGGTTTCTATTGCCTCTCTTTTTAGGACTCAAAAATAGCTGGTTCACTACCATCTACAAACTATACACCACCCTCAACCAATCAAGAAAGAAGAAACAAGAAACAAACGATGATTATTGTTTTAGTTGAATGTATGTGATATATTGCTCTAAGTTCACTAAGATTATAAGATAAGATGAGAACATCTGAAAAGTGTATGATGCACATGAAAAAAACAAAACAATAATGCGACAAAATTTTATTCAGAGTAGAGTTAGATCGTGGAAAAAGAAAAAAGAGCTTATAGATAATGATTTCAAATTGAGTACAAAAATGTCACAGGCAGTTTAAATTGCATGTTTGAAGTCGATTGCTTTTTCTACCTGATTAAAGTTGTTTGCTTTATTTCTATAAAATCCTACTAGTTTATGTAAATATTTGCAATGTTCTATCTTATTTATGAGAAGCAATTTATAATTATGCACAAAAAGGCCGTATTGATTAATTTCTATAGTCTCCGGTAATATTTATAAAAATATCAATCAATAGTACAAAACAATACAGAATTCCGATTATTATCATTGGTTTATTTTATGTGACGTATGCACTTGGAAATGACGCACAATTATAGGCTATTTCTGGTCTTGCCGTACCAGAATACAGAAATAATATCGGACGCAATATAGATGCCTAACAAACTAATTGATAGATATTCTGGATAAAACAGTTTTAAATAACAAATCAATGAGTTTGTATCCGACAGCAGATTTACAATTCCTCTTTTAGATCAATATGCAAAAATAGATAACTCCAAGGCAAAATACGTTATCAAGCAGTTTTTTTTTAATTTTTCCTTGGCTCTGCTGACGTATTATATCCGATTTTAAATTCCATAAACGTAATCCTCTCTCAGAGGAAACATCATTTAAAGTTGAACGATAATCCTATAGCACGTCACAATTGATTCCATCAATAAATTAATGAATGGATAAAATGGATAAATTAAGATAAATATACTCACACAATTCCTGTATATTAATTTATTTATTGTTGTTTATCCCCAAGGTTGGGCTATTGTTTATATTTCAAATAGAATAATAACTCTAAACACTGAACTCAAACTTACATTCAGCTGTCTACAAATGTATAATAGAGATATAATTGATTCCTCTTCTCTTAAAGACGACATCAGTATAATGCAAACTATATCCAGGCCGTGGGAAAGATAAACCATCAGGCAGAACGAGAAAGAGAGAGGGAGAGAGAAGCATACATATATGTACATCTTTTTGTTTCTCAGTTGATACGATAGAAAGAGTTATTAGGATTGTTTTTCTTAATGGACGCCTTACTTCTTAAATGAAAGATTCTTAAAAAAGGTTTTTATAAATAACACAGTGGAAGTATCTTCTAAACAAAAGTCATGGCTTTGTTGACAGTTACAGAATATCTGTGTCACATATGATCACGCAACTGTCAATTTCTCTAAAGAACAAGTTCATCCTCCATTCCCCATGTTTCCCGTTTTAGACTGATCCCGGTATTGGATAGTGGATCAGGAAATGAATATTTCCCGGATAATCTTAGTTCTCCAACAGCTTACTTGGGTTTGTGTGTAGTGATTTGTCGCGTTGTGTTTAAATCGTCATCATCTTTCTGTTAGTAAAAGTATTGTTTGTCCTTTTTCGACTTTAATATCCGATTGATTTCCCCTATATATCACTGTTTTTATTTTTATTTGCTCCGGATTACCTGGTAGCCCTTCCAGGTTTTTTTATTTTCCGAATTCTCCTTGCAATCTCTTTTTTACCTCCTCCGAATTACCCGGAAGCCCTTCTAGGTTGTTTATTTTCCGATTTCCCCTTGCTTTCTGCTGTTTTTATTTCCTAAGATTCACAGGGAATCCCTTCCGGGTTTTTTTTCGATTTCCACTTGCTATCTGCTGTTTTTACTTCCTACGAATGACCTGGTATCACTCAAAGGCTTTATTTTCCGATTTCACCTTGCTATCTCCTGTTTTTATTTCCCCCAGATCATCTTAAATCGCTCCCAGTTTTAATTCGTATTGATCAAGTTCCGTGTTAACTTTTGTTTGCAGGTCTATATAGGTTATAATATGCTAAACTTGTATTCATATTTGGTTGCGCATTCTCCTATTGATTTACTAAGCCATATATACTGCATTTTTTTTTTAAATTACTAAAATTACTTATCATTCAATTTTGACTATGGGTTGTAATGCAAGCACCATCTATCGTTCAGTTTTGATGATGACATTAAAAGATTACTAATAAATGTCGAGCCTTTAGCAAATTTCATCGATGATAAAACCGTAACAGCAGCAAGCTTGGAAATATCGAAAAAATCTTGCATATACATAATATCTATAATAAGTAACACAAGTAGCATAGAAAATTAAAACGCCTTAAAATTTGTCACAGGTGGAGTAAGTGAGATATTTCTTATTGTGTTTGGTTTTTTCCAATCATAACTATAACTTCTCGACATTGGTTGACTTCATTTAATTTTTTATTACTGTTGAGAGTATGATGTTGGTGTCAGATATTTGGTTTGTATCAATTTGGCTAATGCCAGGGGTAATGGACACTGATCCATCGTTTGGATAAAATAAACATATATGATTAATGTAAACCGATCCTTTTTTCAGTGGAAACTTAAAAATCTTTCCTTTTACTTGTTTGTGAATAGATAATACAGAAGAATAGCAAATTTCACATGATTCGACTTTTTCAACTCCGCAGGTGAAACGGCAGCTGCTTCTAAAATTATTTTAATGTTTTATTTGTGTTTATAACACGTTCATGTATTATAATGTACAATATTAATAACAATATAGAAATGAAGAAATGTATGATTTCCAACGACACAACTCTTAATTGTAGATAAAATGACTAGAGTAACCGTACGTACCCAGCAAAATCCAAGACCAATACCAAAAGGCAAGCTATAATGCACATGAGGCCGCGTGTAATATAAACAAAACAAAAAACCAAAGAAAAACCCACAAAAAGATGCAGACAAGTACTGGCCTAATTGTAAAACAGTAACGAAAGACAAATACACTATTAAGGTAGAGATGTAGAGACTCTGATATTCTCACATTGCAGCAAAATGTTACTGAGAAGTGATATGGATCAGGAATCAACAAATGTATAAGAATTCAGAAAACAAATCAATTAACAACTACCTTGTTACATTAGTCCAGTTTTATCTTCAACCTTTAGCAATTAAAACCCTGGAATTTAATCAATATTAAACCTATTATTCTGCAACTATATAAAAACATTAATGACATAAAACTGAAGTCAATAAGTTAACGCGTCTAAATAAGGGTAACAATTAACTATTTTAGATTTATTTCTGGAATGTCAATTATACTTTGCGTCGGAGGCATTGCGTGAAGGGTTTTAATCTG